TATTAATGTGATTTATTGGTGCATAATACAATAGATTCTTTGAATAAAGCGTAATCTTATTTTATATGCATGTTGTCGGGGAATATATTGATTTATCGATTTAATTAATGTATTACTTTTTCTTTTGAAAATTCAACAAGTTTTTTTTTTTTTAAATAAAAAAAAAAAAATCAACAAGGGTGGGCATAAAATAATTAAACTAAAATCTAAAAATGCAGATGGTAGTTAGATATCATGTAATTGTTAAAACAAATACATTTTTATTAAAAACTTTGAGAGTTTTATCATTTTCGTTCTTTATAATAATTGTTAAAATAACTAGTATGAAATTTAGTTAATTTAATTTATAGTTAACATAACATAATTTTAATTAATTTAATAAATCAATTAAGGTTATATTTGATGTTGAAGAGTGAAGATATATAATACATGTAAATTAATAAAATACAGTGTTAAGCTCATACTTGTCAAAGTGGTTCTACATTTCTTTCTCATAATTTCTCCTAAAACTTGAATCATAAAGGTTGGTTATCAATAACCAAATACTATTATTATTAAGTTTATAATTAAGCTACAACCAAATTATTACTATTATATTTTGATCCCTACTAATAGAAATTAATACATTATTATCCACTTAATTACATAAGTGACTGAGATCAAGTTATAAAAAAAGTAATTGAAGTAAATAGTAGACATTCTCTCTATAATCTAAACCATATTTCCTTAAGCTTGAAATTTCTCTTTCTTTTACTAATTTGAGCATCAAACAAATATTAATTAAGAATGATCGTTTATTTAACTTAACAAGTTTGAAGTACGTGGAATCATCTCTTTCTTTTATTAATTTGAGCATCAAATAAGGGTAACCATTTATTCAATTTAATAAGTTCGCAGTCTAAGTCTAATGAAAATAAAACTTGTATACTACCTCAATTACAAGCCTCTTTTAGCTACCTATTACAACCTCCAAATATTTTCGACATTATCAATTATTGTAATCCATGAGAATGAATGAGCAACTGGTTGTGG